AAATTGCATGTACTTTTGTATTATTTATTTATTTATTTATATATATATAATTTATTATATTTTATAAGGTTGGGAGCCCACTACAGAACAACCGGCAGTGTTGGAACAGAACAGGAAATCGGGGTCGCACAGATTATCAGGCATGAAAGTTATAATAACCCGTTGAGCTATAGCAACGACATCGCCCTGATTAAGCTGTTAAAACCAGCAAATCTTGGAGTAGGCGTCGGGCTTGTCTGCTTGTCTGATATGCGCTACTCTCTCCCTTTTGACAATTTGAACAAAAAGTGCTGGATAACAGGCTGGGGTACACTGTCTTCGGGCGGGTCCCAGCCAAATACACTCATGGAAGCTGAGATACCACTGGTCTCCAAGCAACGTTGTCTTACTTCCTACCCCAGAAAGATTGATGATTCGATGCTCTGTGCTGGCCTGGATGCAGGAGGAGTTGACACTTGTCAAGGTGACAGCGGTGGTCCATTGGTGTGTGAGTTTAACGGTACATGGTTTCTTGAAGGTGTAACAAGTTGGGGTTACAGATGTGCGTATGCTTCAAAGTATGGAGTATATGCTAAGGTTAGAGACCTGAAAGCTTGGTTAACAAACCATATTTATCAAGCAATACCGCCTGCTGTTTCGCCACAGAATCAATCGGTGTCCGCGTTAGGTAAGTATTCTAAACAGTTTTTATAATAGTTTTATTTAACCCTTTCTTAGAAATAAAAAGTTCCCTTACTGACATCATTCGTCCAACATTTATTTACTTGCTTTAGTTCACTGAGTCTAATAAAACATGCAATCGTGACATTGTCAGTTCCACTGTCTTTAGTAACTCTTCAGCTTTTTTTTTAAAACAAGATTTACCAGGAAGTTGACGTTTGGAAGAAAATGTTCGTTTAATGAATGGATGAACGAACGAATGAATGAATGAATGAATGAATGAATGAATTATTTATTTATTTATTTGTTTATGTTACGTGTTTAGTGTGGTGCTCATTTGACAATGGATTATGCTCTGGATGGAACCAATCCTCTTCAGATGACTTTGATTGGACGCTTTCGTCTGGTTCAACACCATCAGCATCTACTGGCCCATCTTCTGGTCAAGGGGGATCAGGTAAGATTTACTGAATCTTTTTTTTTTTTTTTTTTCAGTGCTCATTTCATCTTCAATGCAGAAGAAATAATTATACCTTAAATCAAGTGCCCGTATTCATCGGCGTTAGGTATTGTTTAATCTATTTATGTTGCACTACAGTATACAACTGAAGTGTCTACAAATTCGTAACCAAATTTATTAAGTTTCCGCAGTTATTGCAATGAAGTATATGTCACACGTAAACAGCTAACGACTCTACCTAGTAGTAACCAAATAGCTGCATGAAGTAGTTTACCACTTATAGAGATTTTTGTTATGTGTTTTGCTGTCGAAGCAAGCTCTAAGGAAAGAAAGACAACTTTCTGTTGACATCTCCTTGAAAAAAAAAAACAGACAAACAAATAAACTAAAACAAAAACATCAATAACAAAACAAACACAAAGTCAGTCACTTGTAGTATTACCCTCCTTTATTGATTAAGTAATATTTCCCTCTTCCTCTCCTGTAACAGGAAAATATATGTACATAGAAACATCCTCCCCAAGAAGACCCGGTGACAAAGCTAAACTTGTTGTTACTGTTCCAAACAACGGAGAAACGTCGTGTCTTTCATTTTATTATCATATGTATGGAGCCACAGTTGGAACTCTAAACGTCTACAGCGGAAACAGCAAAGTCTTTAACATTTCTGGATACCAGAGTAATAACTGGATTACCGTGGAGAGAAACATAATTCTGAATGGTTTGGTGAGTGACCAATGTGTTCCATGCCCCTCATAACCCCTTTCTATCGTGTCGACCTCAGAGTGTCCTTAGTAACGTTAGTCGAACCATTCTTATCAATAAATTATCTTTCCTGGAATTTATCACAATGAGATGGAAAATCAGTCGGATGATTTCTTGTGAAGTCCCAAAAATAAAACCATATAAAGGTGAAAAAATAGATGCTATGGGAAACAAATAAAAAAACAAACAAACGAACGAACGGACAAAACAAAACAAATTTTCTTGACGATTAACAACCATAACGAATTTTGTCTTAATGAGGAATAGAACTCACTTTCTATCGGTTTACCAAGGTAATAAACGATGAGAGATACAAGGAAAAAGAGGAAAGTATTCGCGTGGGTATAAGGTTATAAGCAAATATAAAATGTTATATATTAACTACAACTAATCACTGTTGACCGGGAATTTGCCATTTTTACAATTACTTACTGTATTTTTCGTTTTGTTTTGTTCTTTTTGCAGGTAATATTCGAGGGTATAGCAGGTTATTCATTTACTGGCGATATCGCCATCGACAGTGTAAAAATAATTAAAGGAGGCTGTCCAGGTAAAAATAAACCGATCTGAATATTTAAAGAAATCCTTTGAATGCAAAGGTCCACTCAACGCGCA